CTGATGATGTAGACACCGAAACCCTACGGTGAGTTGATCACCTCTCGGAATCCTCAGCTCTCGCCCACCTGTTCCCTCAATCCTCAGGCCCCTCTCCAAAGACTTCCGGAACACAGAGGCCGAAGCCAACAGCTAAGTAACCGGAGTGAGTTGCTTAGCCCTCATCCCGGAACCCTGAGGCACCAGATCCCAAGACTTCCAGATGCGGCTTAAAGATACGACCCTAAACCCTTAGCGCTAATTCCCTCCCTCGATCCTGGTGAGTTGGGCTTGGGAACATATAACCCCAAAACAACAGCTAAGTTACCAGGGTGAGTTGATCTCCCTCCCTTTCCGGAATCCTCAGTGCCCGATCCCAAGACATCCAGATTTCGGAGCGGTCGGGTCAGGGTTTCGAGTTGTGCCTGGCGAGAGTTGCGCTTTGGGGGGCATTTTGTTGTAAACCCACGCCCCACGTGCATGCTCAAGGGCGTTGCACGACCCGCCTGTACCCGCCCCTCCCGAAACGCCAACATGCATGGTCCACATGTGTTGAAGGCACGCGGTAGCAGCATAGGTCAGATTTTGTTACGAGTGGCAATGCTACCTCAGCAGAGGAGCTTCAAGCAATGCCGTCCTTAGCCTGTACCCGCCCCTCCCGAAACGCCAACATGCATGGTCCACATGTGTTGAAGGCACGCGGTAGCAGCATAGGTCAGAGTTTGTTACGAGTGGCAATGCTACCTCAGCAGAGGAGCTTCAAGCAATGCCGTCCTTAGCCTGTACCCGCCCCTCCCGAAACGCCAACATGCATGGTCCACATGTGTTGAAGGCACGCGGTAGCAGCATAGGTCAGAGTTTGTTACAAGTGGCAATGCTACCTCAGCAGAGGAGCTTCAAGCAATGCCGTCCTTATTTGGCGATGAGCCGGATGAAGAGGAGGCCGCGCCGCCCACTTCGGCTCTGGTGTCTATGCTTCAAGAAAATCTGGGAGTTCCTGCTTCATCACACGCTTCTAGCAGGACAAGGAGGCGACAGCCATGCCCTTTTCAGGCTGAGCCAGACGAAGCAGATCATAGCTTGTCATATTGTCCAGCAGCTCCCAGCAAGCCCAGGCTGTTTGGGGACGAGCCACAGGAATCCGCTTCTGATCCAGAGCCTGGCGCATTTGCAGCAGCTGGAGGCCGCGGTCTTTTTCAACCCGAGTCCGATGAGGATGTGGACTCTGACACCAGTTCTGGGGGCAGTGCTAGCAGCTGCCATGATCTGGCAAGTCCACCTGCTGAAATCGAGCTATTGTGCTCCCTTGGCTGGAAAACTCTCGGGTGCGCTTCATTCAGCCAACTCCTTGTGAGAAGTCGGCAAGCTAAAGCTGAGGAGGATGCCAATCGGAAGAAGCGAAAGTACGATGGCAGCCGGCGTAAAGCTGAGGCAGCAGCCAGAAAAGATCCAAAGGTCGGCACGTCCACTCGTCTCAGACGGGGCAATCCTGCTTCTCGGCTGACAGTTTTTTTTTTGTTTTGACGCAGTACCTGTTTCGACACCTTACAGTAGAGGCCAAAAAGTTGGAAACCGAATAGCCTCATTCCCCAAGTGAAACATTTTGGGAGTCCCAGCACTCCTTGTCCTTAATCCGGTTTCCAACTTTGGGGGGTTTACTGTAAGAGATTAGAGCAACGTGAGCCAGCTCAGGAACGTGTGCGCGGCCTGCTGGCAAAACCATGTCTCTGTGCGACTGGCACCTGCTTCTCCCAGTTTCGGCATATGTCAAGCGAAGTTGTGGATTTCTTGCAGCAGTTCGACCAGTGCTCGAAACTTGAGCAGGACAACTTGCTTTGGCTGGCAGCAAACCCTTCAGGCCACACTGTTGAACCTTCTGGCGTGCTTCTGATTGGCTCTTAGGACTTTACTTTTTGGGTTTCTTCATAACCTCTAGTCAGGAGGCTAAAATTTCAACTTTTTGGAGGGGTTCAGAAGTCAGCCAAGGTACAGCCACATGGTCGCAGGTACCAGCTTCTCGAGCATCCGCTGCGACGCAGATGCTGGTTGCGCCTCCTGGGAATGGGCTCTGGCCGGGCAGATAGGTTGGGGCAGGGGCAGGTCGACCTGAGATGCCTCCAACCTTCCAAAAGGGGCTCCCAGCAGCAGGCGTCCGTGGACAGCTTCATGGTTGTGCTGTACAACTCTGTGGCGGAGCACCTCCCCGACAAGCGCCCCGGGGATGCTAGAAAGCTTTCGTCCCGAACAAGCCCTGAAAGTTTTTGACGCCTATACTTAAACCCAAAACCCTAAACCCAAACTTCAAGCCTAAACCCTGTTTTTTTCCAAGAGGCTGGTCCGGCCTCTGCCCTTCCGAGAGAACGCCGACGCAGACGACTGCTGGCAGTTTGGCGGTGAACTCCTGGACAGACCAGACGGAGCAGACGATGACGTGGTGAGTTTCCTGACATCCGCTACTGGAACCTTTATGGCGGGCTTGGTTTGCACATCTGGCTTGCAGGTCCGTATCAAGACGAAGTGATTCAGCAACTGAATGAATGTACACAATTGTTTACGCCCCCTCGCTAAAGGCCCTTACTTTCTCAATTCTGGGTTTTGGGGTCCCTTCAGGACTGCTCAAAGTTGCCGCGCAAGTTCCTGCCACCTGGTACGGTCTTCGACTTGCATCAGTACTATCTGGCATGGTCTTCAGCTCATAAGTTGACCTCTGCCGCGTCGTTGCTTGGCTGATGTGATGATCATGTCTTTCGGGCAGTGAGTGTACAAGCCGAAACTTGAAGATGATTGTGCCCAGAGGTACAACACCTTCCACAGACACTGGACGACCCGCTGGCATCAGTGCCTACACTTCCGGCAGAAATCAAATTTCTCAAAGTGCGATGTGTGTCTTGCGCTGAAACAACAGATGCTCGGTGGATTCTGTTACCTGCTTCTTTGGTAAAGCCCCGACCTCCCGAGGAACCTTGAAATCAGCCCTGAGAGCAGGGTTTTATCTTCTTGTGTGGGTTGCAAATGAAAACGTGTTTCCTTCTCTTTTGGGGGGTTCTCTGGATGTTAACCCGTGCTCCAGCTGCAAGATGCCCATACCACAGACAAGACAAGGTTTGGAAATCGCCGCGAGAGCCTCGAAACTCGTTCCGCAGCAATGGAGTTGTACCGGTCCCACCTTCAGAGTCAGTACGCTGACAGAAATGCGTTCTACTCCCTCAAGGCCGCCTCTGAGGTTGCGGCGGAGGACTGGAGCGCAGATGTGGTGACGATCATGCTGGACGGCCTGGAGCAGGCCAAATTTGCGGTGCCGCGGTCACCGCAACTGATCATCCCGCACCGCGGCTCCAGCTTGGTCAGGCCTCGCCTCGCAGTCCATGCGGCGTGGGCTTTTGGCTGGACCCTGCAGGTCGCGGTGCTGGATGAAACCCATCCTCATGACTCTTACTTTGCCAACAGTGGAACTTTAATTTTTTGGGTTTCCTTACTTAGTCGGAATGATAAAGTTCAACCTTCTTTACCCTTGGGTTTTTGGAGAAGTAAGGACTCCAGCACCATCGTGGAGCTGCTGGCGAGGACGCTGGACGAGGTCGTCCGCCTTTGTTCAGAGGCTTAGACGTACTTGGAAATATTTGTTTGAGATTGCTAAGTTACTATACTTAGTTCCTATGAAACACCCGAAATTATAATTTGTGGCAGGGTTGTACGTTTTGTGTAGGAGCGTGGGCGACCCGTCCCAAGCACCGTCGTCCTCATCGGCGACAACACGGTGAGGGAGCTCAAGAATCGCTTCTGCATGGGCTTTGCCCAGATGCTGCTTGCGAGGCGGCGATTCAGGCCAGGACCTCCTGTCGACTTCCTTTTAATGGAGCCAGGGGGCCGAAACTGCGGGGCATTGGCTTTGGAGTTGAAGGGCGTTTTGTAATTCCATCCTTCAACAACTTCTGCGTGGCAGGTTTGTGTGCATGATGATGCTGAGGGTGGCGCACACCCACGAAATCCTGGGCCGTGTGGCTGTGAAAAGCATGAGTTCCCGTGTGCTGTTTGCACTCTTTCCGCTGGTCGTTTGGAGTAACATCCCAGAACAGTCTCTATGTGCGCGGGAAGGATTTGGATAGGACGTTCCATAGACTAGGATATTATGAGGTCGTGGAACAATTTCTTATGTGCTTCTCACACTAAGACCAGTTATTTGGCTGTTTGGCAAGACGACTGTTCAGCTGCGACCACATGTATGATCCAAATGATGTGGTTGCAATCTTGCAAGCGGAGCTGCGCCGTTTGAAGGAGTGGGTTGGCAGCAACGTCAGTGTCTTTCGCATGTTCAGGGCGCGTTTCTGGAAAGCGCACATTGATGAGCACTGCGAAGCCCACCTTTCGGGTGGCCTGAAATGTGATGACACCGCGAACCACTTCTACTTCTTTACCTTCCGAAAAGGCCGTACTCGGTATTTTGTGTTCGGGGCTGTTTTTTTTTTTTTTTTTTGCCACTTTCGGGTTGGCACCTGTGTCCAAGGATTTCTTCAGGGCCCAGGGCAGGACTGCTTTGGAGTTGGTGGTTCCCGGGAGACAAGAGGGCTGAAGCGCTCCCTGTCCCTTAGCAGCAAAAGAACAGGTTTGTTTCAGGGCAACTGAGGCAGCCCTGAAGGATTTGACCAGTCCATGAGAAGCAACGCAATTCTTCCTGCCCCTCCCCCTCTGTGTTGAGGGATGCTGGGTTTTCAGGGCTCTAAAGCTTGTTCGTCGGCCTTTTGGCCTTTTAGGGTCGTGGGGCTGCAAGGCTTTTGGGTTTTTTTTGCTTCTCGGGTTTCACAGTCAGGTGGTCCTCGGCATTTAGAGTTTTGGTAAGGGCTTCTCTGGGTTAAAGCTGAGGGTTTCGGGGAGTTTGGGCCTTCAGGGCTCTGCGGCTTTACGCCTAGAGTGTGGGCCTTCAGGGCTCTGTGGCTTTACGCTTGTAGCTGTAATTTCTTTAAAAGCTCTGGCGTAAGTTAAGGGTCGTAGACCATGACAGAGGCAACAACGCAAGCTTTGTTTTTACGGCATCATTGTGGTGGGTTCCTACTTCTGTTGATGTTTCTTTCCTTTTGGGCACGTTCTCACAATGCGTATGGCCAGATCTTCCCGAGAATTTGGCGGTCGACAACGGCAGCAATCACCACAGACAGCCCAAACCCGGTGACGTCTGTTGCGTGGTCAAGGACATGCTAGGGTGAGTCCTGGGTTTCAGGCCTTGTCTGGGTTCAAGTTCAAGGTTTCGGGGAGTTTGGACCTGGGTTCAAGTTCAGGGTTGAGAAAAGTTGAGGCAGGGGTCTGTGGCTTTGCGCTTGTAGCTGTTGGGGGGGGCGGGGGGGGGGGGGTAGCGCAAGTTGAAATCAAGGGTCAGAGAGCATGACAAAGACAACAACGCAAGTCTTGCTTCAAACACCTCTTTCGCCGGGGAGGTCATGAGCCCAAAAGCTTGAAACACCTCTCTCTCGCAGGGCTGGTCATGACCCTAACAGCCACACAAAACGCTCCAGACATGAAAATGTCCTTAAACAGATCTCTTTCGCCGGGGAGGTCGTGACACCAAAAGCAACACAAAACAGTCCAGACATGAAATATGTCTTCAAACACCTCTGTCGCCGGAGACGCCATTACCACAGAAGCCGCAAAACGCTCCAGACAGGAAATTGTTTTCGAAGACCTCTCTCGCCTGGAAGGCTGCCTCAGCAGCAGAGGTACTGATGTTTTCTTTCCTGTAGTCACGTTCGGCGCAGTTGCCAGAGGAGTACATTTCGTCACCCACATACAGACAAGCACCTTTACTGGTCATGACTGAAGAAGCTGCTGCGCGGGTCCCGCTGTTGACCTGCCGCACCTCGGCCACACTGGGTCTTGTAAAAAGTCTGCAATCCCTTCTTCCTAGGACTAAACCCCGCCCCAATTGTAAATATGGACCCCGGGTTGAGGGCCCCCGCCTTTTGATTGAGCTAGTAAGTCGTCTTTTCGGGGTTTGGGGTTTAATAATTTAATGTTTAATTTGGGAGTTCTTTGTCTTTCCTTAGTTTAGAATTACGGGGGGGGGGGGGGGGGGGGGGGCCCGGGTTTTCGTAGGTAGAGGGCTTACAGTAGATACGTCAGCAAAGTTCAGTCACGGCCATGGACCTGAAGGCCTTTTGCCGCTGCGACAGATATCTGCCGAGACAAAGCGGGACTGGCAGAAACTTGCAGACATGTTCCAGGGGCTTCTTGGTAGCCCAGTGGAACCCTTGTATCTTTTTTCGTTCACTGTTCATTGTTCCCTTGTAAAGTAGCCCTTATAAAACATGGTTATTGGGCTACCAAGGCTTGGCGATGGAGGAGCACGGGCGGCGCGGTATCTTCGCTGGCTCTCTTCGGACCCGGACCCTCAGGAGACTTGACTGCTCGTGATTGGAAGCCAAATTAATAGAAGCACGTGTATGTTGCATTCCTGGATCTCCCAGGACCTGTATGATTTGGCAAATCTCTTCCTGGAAGATCCCGCGCCGGCTGCCGGCGTGTTTCAGCCTCACGAGCACCTAGCTGCAATTCATACAAGCGTCACGAAAGTTGTACACATCTTTTTCCGTCAGCACCATCACCTACTTGGTGACAAAGGTGTGTGCTCAAAGTGCTAGCGCCGAGCGTGCCTCTTCGCGCGGCTTGGAGAAGGAACCGGGCTCAGGAATGAGCCTCTTCATGCAGCAGATTTCCAGCTGGGAAAGAAAAACCATAGCTAGAGCATTGGGCTTCGTTGCATGGCAAAAGTTAAGCCTTGCCCAGCCTTTCCTGCGCAATTTCCTGGTTCCTTACATTTCTTCATGCTGGAAATCTTGCCTGCAGACTCCTTCGGCTTGAGGCATGAGCCTCTCCACACAGCATATTTCCAGCTGGGATTGGGTTTCGCGGTTGAGGGTTTGTAGGGTTTAGGGCTTAGGGTTTACACGTGGGCTAAAAGCAGCGTGAAAGTCTGAACGGTCTTGGTTGCTGAAACCTGATGCTGGAATTCTTGCCCGCACTCTTGCGTAGCAAAACCAAGTCGGGAAATGCAGCATCTTTCTGCATACTGCGGCATCCAGCAGCCACATGGAATTGCTTTTGTCATTTGCGTGATACGTATTTATTTGTTTATTTATACATCTTATAGGATGTGTATATCTATGATACTTGTACGTGCTAGTGACATCGAGCCTAAGTCTGGTGGTTTAACAGGGATGACGGGTTGAGGGGGAGGGTGGGGTCGTGCCACCACCTGGTAACATTTTTCCAGTCTCAGGCTTTTCCAGGGCCCACCCTTATCAGTCTAATTCAGGGGGCGGGTCTCAGGCAGGAGTTGCGTACTAGTTTGTCCAAAGGCCAACCCCCCGCTCAAATCGACCGGCGTGGTGGGTCAGCGCCCCACCACACATGTCATCGTGGCAGAGCCCACCCCATCAGCATTTTTCAGCGGCCAACCCCCCGCTCAAATCGACTTGAACGGTGTGGTCGGTCAGGGCCCCACCACACATGTCATCGTGGCAGAGCCCACCC